TTTGTGCATGTAAATGGAGAGTCCTCTTCACACACTGAGGTTAATTATGGAGTTCCACAGGGTTCAGTGCTAGGACCAACTTAAACATGAACGATTGGTGATATAGGCTCAATATATCATATATACAGTATAAAGTGATCCACAGAATAAGCCCCACAGGTGAAAAACTGCATAATCTAGGATTCAGGGAATCTCACACATGGATACACTGCACACAGAAAACTACAGACAGCTGTTAGCATGCTATCTGGCACTGCACACCTGTCAGCACTTTTGGAGTTATAGACCATTTATCACACAAACTGGACTGCCCGATCCCTTTATTCCCTAACATTTCCATCCTGGGTTACTTATCAACACTACAACTACAACCCTCCTGGCTAATGTTACCTCCACATCTTTTGAATGTTTTAGAGAGGGACTCCAGGTCTGAGTGAGCCAAAAAAATAAGTCATCATCGGGACCAGTAACCCACTATGACCCACTGCCTCTTTTAAAAGGGGCCACACTTGGGGCTGACCCCACTGATCAGGTAAGTATGGTCCTATTTGTATATTGCTGCATACTGTAGAAAAAAAGGTAAATCAGAACAAACACCCATCTGTAAACCACAGAACACCTTCACATTTGTTCTGGGCGACTTCTCCCAGCAGGCTGACGCCCTACAGGTATAACATTTGAGTCATTTCTGAATCATACTTTTCTGTGACATCAGTGAATCTCCCACATAAACAACAAAGTTACAGTTTAAACTGTTTTAGATTTGTAAATAAATGTGCAAATAAATTTTAATCTTAATAATGGGTTCCGAAGCAGTACCTAATGTCTGGTGATTATCCACCCTACCAACAAATGTGAAGAAGACGGCTGAGTTGAGAGAGCACAGAAAAGTGACTCGACTGCAAGCCGAACATAAAGAAACACATACACTGTAAATAGACACTGAAGCTGCTAACGGCTGTGTGTGTGTGTATGTGTGTGTGGGGGGGGTTCTCCTTTACACATTTACAACTAAATTATTTGTTCATCATTTAATTTAGCATAAAGGAATTTACAACTGGATCTAGTCTTCTATGTTTGGGTGAGCAGTTAGAAATAACTGGTGGACAACTTGGGTGAGACAAAAAGTAGCTGTTAGAACAGATGACCAGTGTGGCAAAGTGGCAAAAATAAGCTTCCACTGTCCAGATAATAGAAAATGACCAATGGGGAAACTACCAGTGGATATTTAATCAAAAAAAGAAAAAACTGTTATCAGTGACTGGCAAATGAAGCCTTTGCATATCAGACAGCATGTTCCTTGTTACTCTGTATAGTTGACTGTTTACATGCTGGTATCTCATGTTTTTTTTTTAAATTGACACAGGAAATGATTAGCAAGGTTTAATGATGACAGAAAAAACATGTTCTAAAGTACAATTAAAAGGACTTAATTAGCTTCATATACATAAAGAAAATTTTTCTACATAAATTTTTCCTGCTGCAGGTAAAGCATTGATTTCTTACACATGTGTTACAAGAGTGGCTGAAAACTCATTATACATAATGTATTGTAGGCAATCAAAATCATCAGCTAATCCTGTAAACAGGAAGTGATGTCACATCTCAGTAACTAATAACATTTAGTGCATAATCACCCCCGTTGGAAAACAGCTGTTAAAAGCAACTAAGCGACACAACAACATCAAATGCCACACGGGTGTGGCATAGTGCATGGTGTCTGGGATGAATAAAGCTCTGTAGTTCTTGAAGTAATATTTGCTAAAAACTGTAAACTGTAGTTGCCTGCAGTGTAGGAAAAAATAACTTTGCTTTCATCAAAGTGAAAAGCTTTCATAGCAGTGAGGTATCACTTATAGAAGAATGACTTTTAGATTTTTTGGTGCTTGTCTTAAACATCCATGGGTAAAAATCTAATGAAGTATTTAGTTTGACAGCAAGCAAGAAGTTTCCTGCCATGTCTGATACAAAATGAAGAAGCTCCTGTTTGTCATTGTCATTTGTGCAAAGTCACAAGCTGATAAAATTTTTATTCCATATTAGGTTTTAGCCTTTGCATGTAGTAAGCAGTCTCTTCGCTGTAGTTTTTCTGTTGCACACAAGAAACCGCAAGTTCCTGTTTTTATAAGTTTAGCAGAATTGCTCTCTTCTGCTTTTTACATGTTTGTTTGTTAAAAGTTCATGCTCTAAATGGAGTGACTGGACATATTAAAGTGTCGCGCCATGTATGGTATGACAGGAGATGGCACACACACACATGCTGATGTTGCGCACACATGCTTGCCTTGGATGTATGACTGCTTTCACCAAATAAAAGGAGCTGTAAGGGAAGTCAGGTTTGGAGTTGGCTGAGTTCGGGTGAAGGGCTTACAACTCTAAGACCCCAACCGGGCTTCCCTTGCCAGCAAGTAAAAGACAAAAGTGCTGTGGTCTTGCTTTGTTCACAAGGATCGGTCTCTGAGACAGTGAGGTCTGTGAGGTTAGACATAACACAAATCATATTCTGTAACTGTATAACTAAGGGTCAGTTCAGCTGAGGAACCACACACTCTTCGCTCAGCCTGATGGTAAGTTTTAGTTAGGATGGTGACACATTTGGTGCAGCACAGAATAACCTGTGAACTCAAGTCATGCTGTGATACTGCATTATGTTATTACCTGTAAAGACACTGCAGCCTGTAATAGTGGGCTAATTCTTTTTTCTCCTAAAGGGAAGATGATGTATTAAAATGACTTTTTTATTATTCTGTTCTTTCAGGACGCCCTTTGGATGATTGTCCTCACTGTTGGTCTGCTTGGCTCACATTGTGAGGGCGCTATATCCTGTAAGAATGAAAATGGTGTTCCTGTAGACTGGTAAGACAACATTTGAGCTATTTATTCAGGTGTACTGAATTACACATTAGTAACTTTGGTTTTCAAGGGCTTCAAAGCTGCGCTATGGTACCTTTTGCACCTGTGTTTCAACATAGTCATAGATGATGTTCAGACACTGTAACACTATTTTACACTGTTATTATCAGTTATTTTATATATTTCCATTTCATAAATAACTTCATTTGGGCAGTATGGGCAATTAAAACAAGGACATTAGACATATGAAGACAACATGCAATACTGTGACACTTGCCTCCTTTGTAGAGCCCTGCACATCTATTTTTAACATGTGTATTATTCTCACTTTATTGCACAAAAGAGGAAACAGGGAAAGAAAACACTTTTTCACAAGCTTCATCACATTTTAGCATCATGAGGAAGCCAGTGGAAAATAGCATTCATAAAAGGCCCTGTTATTCATAGTTAAAGGGTTTCAGTCATATCTCTGCTTACTCATACAGGTGCTTGTGAGACTCAGGTATAACAGGGTTTGTTATTTTCTTCTTCCATGCTCGGTTACGCTTCTCATCATTTATTGTGATCTTTGAATTTACTGACTTGTCTCTGACATCACCAGGTTTATTTTGTATAAGAAGCCTGCTGGGTTTGATTATGTTTACATTGATTCAACCAACAACGAACTTCAAAAGAATAACAAGCCTGTCAACCACCAAGCTGGTGTCCTGGCACATACCCTGAATCCCTGCTTTGAAAAAGTGAGAATAACTCCATGAGTTTCTGTTATTAGTGTGTATGCCCTTTGAGGAAAGACAAAATTTATCTTATGTTTTTGTGGATTCTTTCGGGATAAGCAGTCACCAGATTCTGGATTTATTGCATACAATGATCAAACACCAAGTTGTAACGCACTACAAGAATATGGCCACAGCAAAGGTGGGTAAAAATATTTTTTTAATAATAATACAAATAACATAAGAAATACTAATAAAAAACACACCTGATTTAAAGGTGCTGTCCTTCTTCACGCTCACCTCTGAGCATCAGAACCACAGCTGCTGTTATTCTTAGATCACTCAGCAGATGTTCTCTTCTTAATAATTACATGTGCTCTTTCATGTTCTTGTTCTGCAGGAGTTGTGATGATGGATAAGGAAAATGTAGTCTGGCTTTTACACAGCACACCAAAATTCCCCAACGGAGATGAAAGCAATAATTTCTTTCCTGAAAGTGGGGAAACAAAAGCACAGATATTTATGTGTGTAACACTGAAATCTACAGAGTCTGCACAAATAGGTAAGAGCATGTCCAAGTTATTTCTTCATGTCTAGAGTGTATGTGAAGTCTTAACACGGTAACATGTATATCCCTCATTTTGATGTTTTTCAGCTCAGCATCTTAAAGATATCAATGCTCATATATTTAAAGAGCACAATCCTGAAAAACTCAAAGATTCTTCCAAAGAACAACGAAAGCGGCCCTATCACAAAGACTTGTCGTCAGCTGGTGGTCAGAAGTTTACACGCTTTGTTAAACAAATCTCAGAGAACGGGGATTGTGAAGGTGAGATTTCTGCTTAATTCGTTTAAGAAAAAACTTAAAACCACACTGTGAGTTTCCTGTGTGAAATATTTGTGACTTCCTGTAGTTTCCTGACTAAAGAGAATTTTATTTACAAGGTGTGAAACATCCAGCCCCAGAGTCTTTTATTCTTACCTCCCTAATGTTTTGGCCTGTGAAACATCAGCTGGGCTACGAGTAGATCTAACTTTACAGAGAGGCTCTGTTCAAAACTCGCTTTATTTAGACTTTAAAAATAACTCACATTTAAAGTTAAATAATAATCCTGGTATGAAAATGTTGTGTGAGCTGAAAAATAAATCCTTTGAAAACACATGTTGCGCTCCTGTACATTTGTATCACCATAGAGACTTTTCATTAAGGTGTTAGTGTGACCCAGCCTCAGTGCAGAGTTCATCAGGGTGTCTGGCAGCAGGGATCACACTGGGTCTGATGTTTGTAAAAGAAACGATTCAAGAAGAGCTGGAACTTCCCAAATAATGTCAGACAGAGAAAGTAGAGTCAGGGTTGTTGTGAGCGACACCTTTCTTTCTTTCTTTCTTTTTTTAACTTCATGTTACTTTAATATTATTTGAAGGGTCCCTGATGTTTGTCTTTCCTTTTGCAGAAGGAGATCTTTACTTCTACATTGCTGACACGCTAGAGAGTAATTTATACATCCAGACCTGGCGCAGCAACCCTGAAGACACTGATATCACTGACGAAAATCAAAATCTTTACAACATAGTGGAAGTAAAAGCTGGTGGTAGTAAATGGGAATATAGAAGTGATCATTCCAAATGGTGTGTTTCTGACAGTAAAGCTTGGATGTGTATTGGTGACTCAAACAGAGAACCATCCCAGTTCGAAAGGCCTGGTGGTGCACTGTGCATTAATAGCAAACATGTGGCAAATGCATTTAGGACAATTAAAACTGAAGATTCAAGTATGGAACCTCCTCTTAAAAAGACCTTAAAAAGATCTTCAGGTTAACTGCAGCAGACAACCATCTCAGTCTTGTTTTCTATCTACATCCAACAGTTTTATTGTAAATTAATTTCACATTAAAGTGAAGCGGACTTGAATCTGGCGCTGACATCATCACTCCTGTCAGTGTTATCTAATGTTTCTGTGAACAATATGAAATTAAAAACATTTGATGGATATTTCACAGTGTGGTTCTTTCACCCATGGAAACCATAAAAGCCTGAAATAAATGACTTTGTGGTACAGGCCTTCATGGGGTCTGTTTTTAAACTGTTTTTTTTAACAGAAAAGCAGAGACAGGAGACATGAGTTGCGTTTGGTCTGCAGGCTCTTCCTCGTCTCATTTATTAACAGAATTAAACAGTTACTTTTCTTTTCATTTAGAGACACACATTTCTCTTTTAACAACAAAAACACATTCAATCAGGTCCATAGGTCAAACTCTTTTGGTTACCTTGCTTTCTCGGAAGAATAAACTTACAAAATAGTCATTGTATATGAGTGTCCTTATTTACAATAAATCTGTAACCAATTCTACTGCTGTTCAGCATCAAAAACATTTCTGTGCAGTACCATTAACACTGCAATTAACCCACTTATGTACCATTATACATTCTTTATATTTTAACAGATTCAAACAATATATATATTTGTAGACAATAAACAAAAATATTCTACCACTGCTCACAGACAGTTTACAGTCGTCCACAAACAGTATACATCACACGTAGTGACACCCCTCCCTCCTGGCTCACAGCTTCTTCTTCTTCTTGGTT